GCTACTAAACTATTCTCTACCTAAAATAAGAATGGAAAAGAGAAATAACATATAATAGCAGGCATGCATGGGAAAACTCATTATTTATATGCTTAGCATGATTCTCCTATATGTAAAACCTAGTATTTCATTAAGTTAGGTCTTTTAGAATATGAGAACCAGATTATACATCAGTTTATATTACAATGGAAATACAGAGATAGTCTTGAAATGAGACTATAAAAGACACTTCTTTTAAATACTAATTCAAAAACAGCAGATATAGCATTGTTTTATAAATAGAACAAGAAATCAGAAAGCAAAATAATCCATTGTCTAGGGAAAAAATTCTGTAGGAATGGGGCATTAGATTCAGATGGCTAGTATGGGAGGAGATAATTACTAGCTTCATCTCCAGCCCTATTCCCCTTCCTCTAACCTTCTGACTAGTTGGTAGACAGTTCTGAGTAAGTGAATGCTCCATAAGGGAGAGCCAGTGCATTTGGTATTTGATAAAAAAAATTGCTTCATGAAGATTCCTATTAAAAGAATAAAAATGTTAGTCTTTAGTACTAACATTTGGATGATTTGGTCTTAAAACTGAATTTCACCAAATCATTTAACATAAATAAAATGGCAGCTATTCACAATTAATGTACATTTTAAATTATATTGGATTCAATTCACAGTCTTGGCTACTACCAGACCTATGTAATTGAATACAGTGTAAATAACAAAAATATAACTGAAATAAATTACAAAGCACAGTTCACTTTGCAAATTTCTGAGTAGACAGCATAGGAAAATCAGGAACAAAGAAAAAAGCCAAGAAGGCATCATTCATACCAGCAGCTAGGGCAACTATAATAACAATAGCTAGTACTAGTATTTACTAATGAGTGCTTAGTTGGTGCTGGGAGCCTTATGTGTGTTATTCCGCTTGGCTCTCAGAATATTTCTGTAAGGCATTTATTATTGCCAGTTGTATAGATGAAGTTTAAATAACCTGTCCAAGGTGCTTAACTAGTAGTAGTAGGAGAGCTACATTTTGAACTCAGAACTATGTCTATAGACTGTATTTGTAACCATTATGCCAAAGAACTCATCATATATTCTGATTCAGACTGGATGGTATTAAATACTTAGGAAGAAAATGAAGGAGCTCAGCTTATAATAGCTACGAGAATGAGCAAGTCCAGTGTTAGACTAAGTTCCAAACCTACTCAGCAGGGAGAATAATGAAATAGACCTTGTTAGTAAAAAGCATCCCTCATTATAACTCCCAGTGCTGTAGCCTACTGTAACTTTTGTGTATAGTAAATTCCTCTTTTGCAGTAATTGGCTGGGAACCTAAGGTGGCATAATTTTTAAGTAGGGAAGGACAGTAATAGTCTCCAGGAATGATGAAAATAGTATAGTAATAAATCAGAATTTAAATGGAGAAAAAGAGTAGGACTGCATAGAAATAGTGTCCAGTGATCCCACTTCTAGGAATATATCCCAAGAACTCAGAAACACCCATCAGAAAGAATATATGCACCCCTATGTTCATAGCAGCACAATTTACAATAGTTAAGACTTGGAAACAGCCTAAGTGCCCATCAGCAGATGAGTGGATTTAAAAACTTTGGTACATCTATACAATGGAATACTATGCAGCTATAAAAAAAAGAAAGAACTCTTACCATTTGCAGCAGCATGGATGGACCTAGAGAGCATTATGCTAAGTGAAATAAGCCAGTCAGAGAAAGATAATTATCACATGATCTCCCTCATACGTGGAATCTAATACCAACATAAACTGATGAACAAAAATAGACCTAGAGACAGAAACATCGAACAGACTGTCAAACCTCAGAGGGAAGGCAGGGGAGGGTTGGAGGGGGTGGGGGGGGAAGAAATCAACCAATGAACTCATATGGGTATATGCATAACCCAAGGATATAGACAGTGGGTTGTGAAGGCTTGTGGGGGCCCGGGGAGAGGGTGGGAGGGGAAAGGGGACATATGTAATACTTTCAACAATAAAGATATATATATATATATATGAAATAGTATCCATTGAAATAATCAGTGTTCCATACCTGCTTCTTATAAATGTTAATCCCTTTGTCATGAACCTAGCATTTGGGAGTACCTCCCATCAGGGCTCCAGATATTATATTCAGACAAATGTGATGAAGAAGTTGTGGCAAGGAGAATATGAATGAAAACAGATTAGTAAAACTGACACTCCCATTTTAAAAAAATTAAAGATTAATACTGTTTTCTCAGCTTTTTTGTTCTTAAAAGCTCTTCTACTTAAATTGCTGCTTAGTGGGGATTTAATGCTTTACTTTTTGACATAAATATCTTTATTCATAGCTTTGTTGGTGTTATAGGAAGGGTAAACTCCAACAGTTATTCACTGGTGGTATTTCTGATTGCTGTTACATAAGTAAAAAAAAAAGAAAAGAAAAGAAATACTGGATTTTTCAGTCCTTTTAGGGCTGTGTAATTAATAAATTATTTAATTTTCCAAATATTCTCTCCAGTAGTTTATCTGCTCAGCATCAAACCATGGCCATGGCTAAATTTGGGGTATGTCATGATTAAACAGAATATGCATTAGCCACATAACAGTAGGGTAATTTCACATGCTCCTGCTTACCTGAAAGATGGTAACATAAAAAACAATTACTTGGGTATTAATTATTAGACTAAAATGACATATGAATGTACATTCATTTTATGGATTATTTTTCCTGGGCAAAGAAACTATCCTGTTTGTCTTTGCCCAAAAGAAAGAATGTTTTCTGATTGTTTTTATAAAACATGTATGCCTCTCCTTTTCCAGTGTAATTGAGGATAAAGAAAAAATAATCTTGTTAAAAAAACATTCCAAAAGCTTTGCCCCTCTTCTTGCCTTTATTTTTCTTTAATAACTGTTAAAGTTATTTTGTTTCTTTAATAAAAATAAACTATTATTTCCTTTCCACTCAGTTATTTAAGAACCATTAAAGTGGCATAAGCAATAGTAGGGCCAGTCCCCACCCTTACCTTTGCTGGTTGTAAATTCTAAAACATCTGGCAAAGAGTTAATTAAAAAATCAAATCAGTTATTATTCTGCTTTTTGGAAGGTCAGAAATACAAATATCTTACTCTGCAGTCAGAACTTTTACTTAATTAGTTTTTGCTTAATCAAATAAATGAGTTTGATTATAGTTTAGTAAATGTGTTATTTGATATTGTGGACTCTTTCATCAGATTTCACTTCAATCAGGAAAGGTAACACCTGTGGGTTGGTTCACTAAAGCCTCTTTTGTTAAAGGGACACCCGCAGGCCATGAGGCAATTACATTTGTTGCCTGTACTAAAAGAGGCACTTAACTGGACCTCAGTAAATATACCCGAGAACTAGAGGCTTCTTTTGTCCAGCCCCCGATATTAGGCTTTCTCAGAGCTCAGGAAGTAAACTCTGACGTAGAAAGGAAAAACAAGAATAATTTAAGAGTTCTTTTCTTGCTTTAAAATTTAGCCCTCAAGTTAGCTGTATCTAAGACCTTGGAAAAATTCAGATTTGAACAAAAGTAAAATGTTGTATGTGGCATTCATTGTAAAAATATATATCTGTATATTCTTAGGATCATATATTCATTCAAGTTACCTTGGCAGATTGATAAAAGTATAAAAAGGAAAAGCACCTAATTACTAAAAGTTTTGGTTATGAGAAGCAATGAAAACATGTAATTGGGGATTTCCATTTTTGGCCATTTGCAAAACATGTATTACAAATGCATTTATTGAAGTCCTGTTCTACTTTAGTTGGAAAGTTATAATAGTTTTTTAAAATTTCCATTTAAAATACATTTTAATCTACTCTTATCTGTTAGTATCTTGTTATAATATTGCTGCAGAATTTATCTTCTCTTATCTGGCTTGAATTTTCATTTTAGTGATAGCAACTTGGTTATTCCAACAGATGATTGTTGCTGGAGAGTAATTTTTTAAGTTTATGTTGAACAGATATTAATGGGCAAATGCACCATATCAAAGAGGCCTTGTTTTTTAAAACAAACATTTTCTGTTCTAAATGTATTTATGATTGTCACTGAGTAAAAATTTAGGCTTATGTTAATACACAGGACATATAGGAACTTGGGTCTTTTCATTTTAGTAGAGGGTCACCATCATTAATTTTACAACTGATGGTTTTATAATAGTTCCTTCTAGGTCTGCATGGTCATTATTGAAATATAATGCATTGAAGATATGGCCTGTACAAGGCAGAACAGGGATCTTAATTAGAATTCTGACAAGCCCACTCCAATAAAATGATGAGATTATTTGTAATTGATGTCACAATCAATTACCATTTAGTTCATCATCAGCATTCTAATAAGTGTGGCCTTGCTATTGGCCCTAGGATGTTGCAGAATGAGTGGCTACCCTGTTTATGCTTTTACGGAGACAGGAGGGCACATTTTCAGTCAGCATTCTAATGACCTCTTTTGAAGTCTATTAAATTAATGACCCTGTCACACTGTTTTGATCTCTTATAACCTCAGTGTGGGGTTTGTATAACAAATTAATTTGGGGAACCATGTGGCAAAAAAAGATGGGCATTTAAAAAGTTGAAACCTGCCGGCCAATGTAGCTCAGTGGTTGAGTGTCGACCTATGAACCAGGAGGTCACAGTTCAAATCCCAGCAAGGGCATATGCCTGGGTTGTGGGCTTGATCCCATGTGGGGCGTGCTGGAGGCAGCTGATCAATGATTCTCTCTCAGCGTTGATGTTTCCTATCTCTCTATCCCTTTCTGAAATCAATAAAAATGTTTAAAAAATAAATTTGAAACTGTAATATTACTAATATTTAATAAGTTATTTTATTGTGCAAAAATGAAATCATAAGGTTTATATGTATTTTATAAAAAGACAACTTTAGGACATTTTTCCTTACCTGCACAAGATACTTTTTATTGACAGTACCCAAATTTGTTTTTTCTTTTTTAAAGGGGCTGCTTTCTTCTCTAATTCCAGGTGCCAATGGGCCATGTTTGGTTAGAAGGTGATAATTTACAGAATTCTACAGATTCCAGGTCCTATGGACCTATTCCATATGGACTAATAAGAGGACGGATCTTCTTTAAGGTACTGTTTTCTACTTAAAATGTAGGCCTTCTTATCTGAGCTGAGGGGAAAAAAACATTTTCTTTCAAAATGAACTCTTTAGGCTGTTAGTGGACTTACCTGTTACAGTAACAGTAGTGAAAATGTTAGCCTTCATAGCTATAAACATTACCCCTTCCCCCTATTGAGACAGGTAATCGAGAATTTTTTGTTTGAATAATAAAACTCTAGCTACCTTTGTTTGTAGCATAAGAAGCCTTTAATTTGAACCTTCAAAAATTTCTCTCTTGTATTTTTACAACCACGTTAATATCCTGGGAATATATAGCATGTCCCCAAAAATTGTATACACACTTTAACAGCTGACAGGTCAATTTTGAAAATGAAATGCATTTTAATAAACACTGCCTTATAATTATTCAGTGTGTGTATACATTTTGGGAGGATATTCTATATTAATGTGCACTTGCAGAAGAGCAGTGTAGAGTCAAAATATCTGCAATGCAGGGATATCTTAGTTAAGTACAGTGAGGAATGGACTTATCAATGTTGTAGTAAATTTATGATTCTTAGGAAAGATTGTTTTTACTGGCTCCTCTTTTTTCTCACAATCAGTAAGGAGAAAAACAGACAGGAATACTTGGGGTAATTTACAGGATTCTTTACACTTAAGCATATACTCAAGTACTTAGATTTACAGTTAACTTTGCGGGCAGTAAAAGAAAATACAGACACACACATACTCACACACCCACACATATATACAGTTGACCCTTAAACAACTCGGGGGTTAGGGGCATTGACCTACATATAACTTTTAATTCCCCCAAAACTTAAATATAGTATCTGGAATTTGTTCCAGGAAAACCCCCAGACACCAAAATCTGTGGATGCTCAAGTCCCTTATGTAAAATCACATAGAACAATACATACAGTTGCCCCTCTGCTTCCACAGATTCCCAACCATGGATGGAAAATAATGTTTTTAATCTGTTGTTAGCGGAATCCATGGCTATGAAACCGAGGCACATAGAGGGCTAACTGTATATTTATTGAAAAAAAAAAAAATCTGTGCATGATTGGACCCATGCAGTTCAAACCCATGTTAGAGTTTAAATACATAGACACATATAAATTTACTTTCTAAAGTCTTATTTTGATGTAGGAAATTTGTTCTTGAGTGAAGAATACAGAGAAAGTGTTTAGTTATATGGCATAGAGAAAAAGGATGAATGAAATAAAAAGGAATATGATATAACATCACTTTCATTAATTGTCTTCAATCAATTTTGATTTTATAGATTTGGCCTCTGAGTGATTTTGGATTTCTACGTGATAGCCCTAATGGCCACAGATTTTCTGATGATTAGCCAACATTTATTCTTTTGATTATTGCCTCCTGTTCAAGTGAAGTTATTATTGCCACTGAAACCATGTACTTACTAATAAACTATTTGCTATTCAGTTTGTTATTTTTAATTGTTATTTGTAAAGAATAAGTAACACGCAATCTGCAAGCTACATTAATTCAAAATATATGGTAAGCGTAATACAATAAATCATCTAAAGTTTATGACATATGTAAAAATATTTTTAGGGGGGAAACCTGGATGACAACCTCACTTTTGAATTTTTAGTTTTCTAGGTATAATAAACTCTCCTCATGAATATGCTTCATACGTTAGCTACATTTATTTTTTATTTTATTGTATTTTTTTGTTAGCTATATTTATAAAGAGTAGAAACTGGTCTTATAAGTCCAAGTCAACAATAAATGCAAAGATTCAACCAAATAAAAAGCTGCTAAATCACAAACTTGGTTCACTCATTTGAAAATAGTTTCAGTCCAGCCAGTGTCGTTCAGTGGTTGAGCGTTGACCTATGATCCAATAGGTCACAGTTCGATTCCCGGTCAGGGCACATGCCCAGGATGCTGGCTCAATCCCTGGTGGGAGGTGTGCAGGAGGCAGCTGATCAATGATTCTCTCTCATCATTGATATTTCTATCTTTCTCTCCCTCTCTCTTCTTCTCTGAAATCAATAAAAATGTATTTAAAAGTATATATGTATATTTTTAAAGTTTCAGTGATCCCATAAAGGATTCCTTTTCAAATCAAATTTAAATTGTTTCTGACTTACACTGTACATAAAATGTTAAATACATACAAAAATAAAATCTTTAGTTTACTATAATCAATAATGATACATTATAAAAGTCCATTTCATCATACTAGCAGTGCAATGGTTCCTTATTCCTAAATACAGGCATTAATACTGTATCTTAGCCCTCTGAAACCAAAAGGAAAGTAATGCACTTGTTTCAAATTTTTTTTTCTAAAACTACCATTTCCTAAATTATATTTAAAGTTGAAGATGGCAGTGATCAAGAACCTTACTCCAATTAATACAACCACTTGAAGGCTTTGGAAATATGGTGGCAGGACTGAAGTCATCTTCTCCAAAGCTATTCTTCCTTCTACAGTTGCCACTTTGTCTTCGTTATTAACTTTGAAATAACCTCATGAATATCCATAGTCAGCCTTCACGATGGGAGAACCAGGCTCACATATCATTCACACAGAATGTAATTTAACTCTAATGACCTGAGATTCAGAAATAGTTGTACAATAGGCCTATAACTTTGACAGCTAGAAATGTCATGTTACCTCAGAAACTTAGTAACTATAAAGGAATATGATGGTATTGTAACCCATTAAAGAGGAGACATGCTTATTTGCAGAAACAAATCAATAATAAAGTTCTCAAATAGGAATTTGCTATAAATAACTTATAATTCAAGTCTCTTTTTTGGGGAATCTATAAATTATCCTATATAATAAATATGTAATATGCAAATGGTTGTTACGCCATGAAGCGTAACGACCGACTGCATAATGACTGGATCACGGATCAGCAGGAGGGTGGGGCAGCCAGCGAGTTACAGGTATGCAGCTGAGAGCTACAGGAGGGGGCAGGGCAGAAAGCTATGGGGAGGGTGGGGGGGGGGGGAGCGGGCAGCTACAAGCAGGCAGCGGAGAGCTTCAGGAGGGGGCAGGGCAGCAAGCTATGAGGGTGGGGTTGGGGGAGCTACAGGAGGGCGGGGCAGTGGGCAGAGAGCTACTGGAGGATGGCAGCAAGCTACTGGCGAGCTACTGGTGCACAGATTCGTGCACAGGGCTACTAGTAAACATAAAGAGCTAAATTAATTTTCTATTAATGTGGGTTAGACTTTGCTTGACAAGCTTACATTTTCTTTGCAAATAATAGAGCTGACAAAAAAAGGTTCCTTTTTTATCAACTTTAGACAGTTGCTTGAATGTATAAAGCTGGAATGGACTTTCCTCAACATGTCTGAATATACAGTTAAGGGAATCCATTTAGTGAACAATTTCAGCTACAGTGGAGGAGTTCTATAATTAGTGAACATGTATCACAAGAAATCAGGGTAATTTCTTCGGCTTCATCCTTGGAAACACTGTATTTTCCACCACAACGGCAACTCAGAGAGTAAGAGTGATCATCTGCAGAGAAAACAAAAAAATGCTTCAAATTCTTACAAGTAACTACACCGACACCACACACACACACACACACACACACACACACACACACACACACACACAATGTGGTTTATTCCACAGAAAATGAAAAACAAAAGAAATAAGTTCAGTAAATGTAAAATGTATTAAATGAGAACTTGAAAATATTTCATATATAGGCAGGGACAGTGTTTCTAAAAAATTATCCACCAAAGAATCTCTGTAAAGGAGAGGTACTAAAGCTATAAATCAGTAGTCCAAAGATCTTGGGGTGACAGCAAATGCTCTGAAGCAACCCAGAAAATTTATTTGAAGTCTGTTTGCTTAAGATTCATACACATTTCACATTCTCAACAATGCGTTTGTCCAAAATAGGACTGTAAAGGAAAAACAACAACTTTACCTGTCTTATTAAAGAACTTGCTTTTGCCTGGAGTATATATATCCTTTAAGAAAAAACTGCTAATTTGACTGTTTATCAAATTCAATATTTGAATATATCTGTTCTGGTATCATACTATAAAGAGTGCTGACTCAAATATATAAACACACACTATGGTGTGTGTTTTCTGTGTGTGTACCTGTTTGTTTGGTGTTTACAAATGATTTGTGAACCAAAGGGCAATCATTGAAGTGAGATGCCCAAAGGAAACAACATTGTGTGATATGTAGCCTACAGAAATTTTATCATGTCTGTCATTTTCCTGAGAAGCTGAAATGCTTATGTCCTTTAAAAGAATTCTTAATTTACTGGACATTCTGTCACTGAGACGTGATTGTCAAAGAAAAACAATTACTTATCACATTATTTTACTACTGTCATAATTTGTTACATAGATAAATCAACTAAGATATGATTTCTTACATCTGGTATCTTCATTCAATTCTCAAATTTCATTTTTTAACAGTTTGATATCAACATATGCCACTAAAAGAAGAGAGAGAAGGAAACGAAAAAAATAACTGCCTTGTTTTTGTTCTCTAATGAAGTCTGGCCTTGGAAAAACTAGTAATTAAATGAACCAACTTTATGTGTTTCTTTTATCATAAAGGAAAACATGATTCATTCACCAGTCCTGCTTTTTATTTTTTACCACAATGAGTCTTTCCCCCACAGGGAAATATAATTTAATCTGGAATTTAAAAATGCTAACATCCTCCCTGTCTGAGCCAACATACATATGTAGTGGAGCATGCTTTCACAGTGAATTGTTTTATTATTAAACTAGAGGCCCAGTGCACGAAATTTGTGCACAGAGGGGGTGTTCCCTCAGCCCACCCTGCACCCAATCCTATCGGGGACCCCTCTCACAATCTGGGACCGCTGGCTCCTAACCACTCACCTGCCTGCCTGCCTGATTGCCCCTAACTCCTCTGCCTGTCTGCCTGATCACCCCTTACCTCTCTGCCTGCCTGATTAACCCTAACTGCCTCTGCCTGCCTGTCCGATTGTCCCTAACTGCCCTCCCCTGCTGGCCTGATCTTGCCCCCAACTGCTTTCCCTTGCCGGCCTGATCTTGCATCCAACTGCCCTCCCCTGCCAGCCTGGTTGCCCCAAACTGCCCTCCCCTGCCGGCCTGATCTCACCCCCAACTGCCCTCCCCTGCTGGCCTGATCTCCCCCCTAACTGCTCTCCCCTGCTGGCCTGATCACCCCTAACTGTCCTCCCCTGTCGGCCTGATCTTGCTCCCAACTGCCCTCCCTTGCAGGCCTGATCTCACCCCCAACTGCCCTCCCCTGCTGGCCTGATCTCCCCCCTAACTGCTCTCCCCTGCTGGCCTGATCACCCCTAACTGTCCTCCCCTGTCGGCCTGATCTTGCTCCCAACTGCCCTCCCTTGCAGGCCTGATCTCACCCCCAACTGCCCTCCCCTGCTGGCCTGATCTCCCCCCTAACTGCTCTCCCCTGCTGGCCTGATCACCCCTAACTGTCCTCCCCTGTCGGCCTGATCTTGCTCCCAACTGCCCCTCCTAGACGCCATTGGCTCCTTACATTCACCCAGATTTGGTTCTGACTGGTCAGTTTCTATGCCAGTCAGCATCTCTGGGCCTATCAACAGGGGCTGATCAGCAGCCCTAGTGGAGGCCTGTTGAGAAATGGAGATAAAGAGAGGCAAGTTCTGATCAACAGCTGCCAGAGGCTATGGATCAGACCCTGCCTCTCTCTCTGCAGGCCTCTCTCTGGGCCTGATCTGCAGCCCCCTAGGCCAGTGGTTCTCAACCTTCTGGCCCTTTAAATACAGTTCCTCATGTTGTGACCCAACCATGAAATTATTTTCGTTGCTACTTCATAACTGTAATGTTGCTACTGTTGTGAATCGTAATGTAAATATCTGATGTGCAGGATGGTCTTAGGCAACCCCTGTGAAAGGGTCGTTCGACCACCAAAGGGGTCGCGACCCACAGGTTGAGAACCGCTGCCCTAGGCAGTCATTGCTGGGTCTGGGCGCCGGCAGTGGGTCCGGACTAGCAACCCAGCCCTGACTTCCGGTCTGGTCGAGCCTTTGGTCGTAACAGTCGTTACAACCCTGGCTCTTTATTATATAGATTGTGTAAAAATGCACACACTCTAGCCATTAGTTTTCTTAAGCTACATTTCCCCCCTTGTTTTTTTGTTTGTTTGTTGTTGTTTTTTACCACCTCAGTGAACAATGAGAAACAATTTGAGGTGATGTGCTCAGTAAATGATGCAGAGGCCACCATGGGATACTGTGGAGTTTTGTCATAGATGATTCCAAATGTTAATCTCACTAAACACTCAAATCTTGTCAAATTTCTTCTAATATGATTCTTCTATCAGTTAAAGTGATAACTTCACAGAAATCATCATTTTAAATATAATAAATAAAGACAAAATGACTAAGTTATATATGAAATTAACTATGAGGGGAAAAGGTTAAAACCTTAGTCTCTCAAGAGTTCTTCA